GTGTCAGGTAGGAACCGTCCAGGCTGCCTTGGCTTCAGAAGTAGCTGCCCCTCTGTTCTGTTTCCAGAGCTGGGGCCACGTGAAGGCACCTAGACTCTAGCACTCTGCTTAGCAGACAGTGGTGGTGGTGGCGACTGTACCTCCCAGCTGATAGGATGTGGTTTTCTGGGGTACACCTTCAACTCACCCCTACTCGACTGCCACTCTGCCATCTTCTAGGCCTGGCCATGTCTGGGGACAACAGTCCTTTCCTTGGCCAGTAGACTAGTTGGGGATTTGGGTAGATGCGTTCTTGGCATCCCTGCTGTAGCCCAGGCAGCAGGATAGGTGTGACTTGTGAAGTTCCCATTTTCTGGGCCCACAGTGCCCTCTCTCTTCCTTTCCCTCTGCCTCTCGATTCTCCTTCCTGGAGGGTTCTCTGAACCTTCATGGAGACGCATTTGGCATCTTGGTTTCATAAATATGCTGTGTGACCACAACCTAAAGTAGGAGGCAGGCGGTTGGTGGCAGGTAGCCCATCACCTACCAAGGCTGGGCCTTTTCTTAAGGCTGCAAAGCCAGCAAGGTCATATGCCTTGGATTGTAGGAGGTCCTTGCAGGTCTCTCACCTCTTGTGTGATTCCAGAACAAACTGTTAAGTCCTCTCAGGCTAAAGGATGCCTGCCTGTTGCATCACTGGTTCCTGAGAGCAGGATTCTGAGCCTCACATGGATGCTTGTGGGATTCAAGATTTACTCTGTGGACGATGGACAGGTCTTGGTGACCCTGGGGTGTTAGAGGTGAGGGGTCAGAGAGACGGTGACCCACTGTCACCCTCATCAACCTGAGGAGTTCCTCCAGACCTTTTAAGGACCCCTACTCGGACCAAACCAGGATTCCTGGCTTCAGCACAGAAAAGAATTCCAGGACCAGCCAGTCAATGGCGCACCGTTGAGACTTAATAAAGATACTTTAATACAGGCATAAACCGCGAGGTTAAGAGAAAGCGAGGCTCCCAGAAAGTGGGACACAGCCGAAAACATGAGCTCCAGCTTTTCAGAGAAGAGTCATGGTGCACTGTCCGCATTATCTACACATGCCATCGCTCTCGAGTTATAACGCAGCAGGCTGTTCAGAAACCTTCACCCCCTTTGGATAAGTGAGATGCGTCTGAGATGTCTTGGATGACGTTATACTCTGATCACATGAAACCGGGCGTCACTGGAGGTGCACAAGGGCATTGGTACATGTCCTTTCTATGCAAATGGAGTTTCTGGTGAGAGTTCTAGAAAATTACAGGTTTACAGCTGGGAAAGGCAAAAAGCCGTAAGCGGTTGTTGGTTGTGCTGGAAACCTTGCCTGTGTTGTTTCCCAGCACAAGGCTCTGACTGTATTCCAGAGTCGGGGGCCCTGAGCCTCTCCTCGTGTCCACCCAAATTTCCCTGCCTTTCTACCCTGCCTCGTGAGAAGCAACATGGGCACCAGCTGGAGGATGCGCATGGCCTCCGTCCTTAAAGGTCTTCTCCTCCGCACTGCAAGTTCTTGTTGTTGAGAGCCCTGCTCTCCTCTGTCCCTCCCTTGGCATCCATCATGAATGCCACGAGAGCTATCCAGGTCTCCTTATAAAAAAGAAAAGGAAAACAAAACAAAAGCAAAAAACAAAACAAAAACAAAAAACCAACGAAACAAAACAACCTTTGTTATTTCCATCTCAGCCATCGCTGCTTTCGAAAAGGACAAAAATCAACGCCTTCAGAAGGGATGATCCTTGTGTTGTGGCCCTGACCCCTCACCCTTGTGCTTTCCTCAGGGGCCACAGAAGTTTCTAGTGCCCTTTGCAAAGACGTCGGGCTCTTTTCTTTGGATGGGAAGTCAGGATTCAGGGATGGGTACCCTCAGTAGGTCAGCATGAACAGCCTCCAACAGCATTCCCTGGGCCGGCTGGGGCCTCGCTTTGCCCCGGTCTGAAAGAGATTTTTGTTTTCTGGTGAGAACAGCCCCAGCCTGACCTGGCCGCAGGAGCCGGCAGCAGGAGTGCAAACCCTTTCATGTGACAGGCCCAGAGTGGAGTGAGGCAGGCAGGCCTGGCAGCCAGCGGGCAGGCCCTCCCCGGCAGCCTGGGAGGCAGGGCGGCCATTTGCATATTCCCCCATTCATCCTGCCCTTGAAAAGGAGGCCTGAGTTCCCAGTCCCTGGCTCGGCCAACGACCCGGAGCTTGAGCACCAAGTTAACCCTGTGGGCCTTCGCTGCTAAGGGGCCAGGGGCGGAGGCAGGGCTAGCCAGCCCTGAGGATGCAGAAGGTAGCAGACTTCCATTGATCAGCAAGCAGCCTTCTGCTGCAGTGGAGAAAATTCCCTTTTACTTCTTCCTGCAGCGGCCAGAAATGATAGCTAGCAATTTATCTTTGTCAGAAAATGTACCTTGAACCCAGGGGAAGATTGAGTCATTGCTTCATGTGTAAGGTGTGTGTGTGTGTGTGTGTGTGTGTGTGCGCGCGCGCACACGCGCACTCGTACGTATGTGGAAGTGTGGGTAAAGAAGCCAGGTGGGTTCCAGGCTACAGCAGTGGCACTCTCAGCCAAGACAGAGAGACACAGCTTGCCTGGGACACTTTTGTATCCCTAGGCCTCAGGATACTAGATAGTAGTCAGGTGACCTACAGGCTGTGCCTCGGAAGGCATGGCATACAGTGCCAGGCGTATTCTCTTACCTTCTGTGGTAAAGAGCCTCTCGCCAGCCACCAGCTTCGTGTCCTGGTCCTTGGTACAGCCAGGCTTGCGATTCCTTCCCCACACTAAGGGATCTTGTCGGGTGCCAACACCTTACAGGCTCTTCCTGTGACGTACCATCCCGTTGTGTCACTCGGTCCTAGCCTAGCTGTCCTCTACGTCCCACACTGCAACCCACCCTTGCTCTTATTCTGTAAGGGAGGACGTGTCTCCGGCATTTCTCTCTGAGCGGGTGTCCCCAAGAGAACAATGGCGTCCTTAAATGACAAGCAGACAAGCAAGCTGCCCTTCAGCTTCTCCCTCCCACCTTAGGAACCCCAAGTGTGTCTTGCCAGGACCCTTTTCTACCTCGAGGAGCACGGTCCTAGCTAGAGGAAGCTGTCCCATCTCGGCCTTGACCATCTGCAGTTGGACTCTTGAGCATGTGTTTCTGCCAGGAGAGCAGATGTGTCTGTCCTTCACTGAGCTTGAACTTGCAGCATTTATGGGGTGTCCCCCAGTCCAGGCTAGCAATGAAACGGATCCCTGGCCCTAAGGCCAAGGCATTAGCAATCCTACCGTGGACTTATCTGGAAGGGAAAGGATCATGATGCCACCTAGGACTTGCCTTCCTGTACAATGAGACCTGGCCAGGAGCGTCCCTCTGCCTGTGTGGAGACCATGGCCCTCACCAGTATCCCTGGAGTTCTGCCTGCTGTCCCAGAGTACAGCGTGGAAGGAGGAACAATGGAGCTTCAGTCATCCACAAACCCTTAGCCCATCACAGCCATCATTCCTGACCATTCTACCCTGTAGATATCGCCAGAGGGGCGGCTGCCATTCTTTCTATCTCTCTGGTCTGTGATTTTGCTGTGCCTGACTTATGGTGAGGCCCAGGCTTATCTAGGTGCCCCTAAAAAGACACTGTGTTTCTCTTTGCTACTCTGGTCTCAAGGCTGCTTCTATTTCTGAGTCTCTAGAAGTGCAGTCTGAGCCTGGCTCCCTGGTCTGATCCTCACAAGTGTGTGGCCATGGTCTCTGGCAGGAGTTTGGGGTGAGTGAAAATTTTGAGAGATGCTGGCTTGAGGATGGGCGTGAAGGTTGGTGAAGGCAGGCGATGGAGACGTGGTCACGGTGAGTCCGGGTAGCCAGGGAAGTGGCTCTGTAAACCTCAGTTGGGCCTTTCATGTAAGGCACTTCCATCACCCTTAAGAGAGAGCTATAATTGGGCTCCCCAGAGAGATCAGGCGGGGAGTCACTTGGTAACACAGCAACCCTATCTCACAAGGGATACACAAGGGGCCTCTCCTGGCAATGCCGGAGTTGGGAAGGCCTGTGTCTCAGTCATCTGTGGCTCCGTGAATCTAATTAAAACCCAAGAGGAAAATGGAGTAGAAGCCCCTCTGTCGTGCAGACTTGAGCTTGAACCCCTGTGCCAAGGAGACAGTTGCTAGGCCCAGCGGGGGCTGCTGCACAGCCCTGCAGGTTGGGGTTACTCAGATGTGACAGTGAGGCAGGAGTTTTTCTTACCCTGGCAACTCTCCCTCAGCTCCTTGCCCCTTGGCAGGCGGCACTTTCCACCCACCAGAGCCCTGGTTGTGGCCACTGGATTTCCTGCCCCTTAAGCTTCCCTGAGAATCACTATAGGAGGTGTCTGTCCTTCTGAAAGACATGTCTCAAGCTGTCCAGGGAAAGTAGAGGAGGGATGGCGGGATGGTTCAGCGGATAAGGACACTTGCTGCCAAGCCTGATGGACTGAGTTTGATCCTAGGAACCCATGTGGTGGAAGGAGAGAATTGACTCCTGCAAGCTGTTCTCTGACCACCCATGCTGTGGTACTCTTGTAAACACACACACACACACACACACACACACACACACACACACACACTGAGCAAATTTAATTAAAAAAAAGAAGTAGAGGATCCACTAAAGAAGAAGTGAAATCCAGCAGATTGGGGGATGCTAAGACCAAGTTCTCTGGCCTCCAATCAATGTCTCAGGAGTGTGTGTGTGTGTGTGTGTGTGTGTGTGTGTGTGTGTGTGTGTGTGTGTCTGTCTGTCTGTCTGTCTGTCAGTCTGTCTGTGTTTGTGTGTAAAGAGACCTTGTCCTCTGAAAACTCATGGCCAACTTCCCTCCCAGACTAAAAACAATGTGGGGTCAGGAAAGGCAGAAGGGCTTGAGTTGAGGCCCTGGCAGGCTGGCAGAGTGAGGGTTAAGGCAGAGTTGCTTGGCTTTGAGCTGGCCTGAGCTAGTACCGCCCCATGTGCAGATGAAGGGGGGGGCAGTGGAGGCCTTGAGGGGCCAACAACTCCTCACAGAGCTGCTCTGTGCCTTGGTCCCTGCAGGACTTGCTCCCACAGCCACCGGGGAGCCACTGTTCCCACAGTTAATGCCTACTACCACCCAGCTTCTCAGGGCAGGCGGCTGTTGCCATCAGCTGTCCCCAGGGGCAGGGCCTTCGCAACTTTTGTACTTTGATCAAGATGTGGTAACCTCTTTCCCTGGGCTCCATAAGCCCTAGAAAGGGAGGCTGGTTCTAGCAGGACCAGCTCAACCACCTCCTCAGTGTCCGGAGCCTGCTGGAAAGGTAGGATGTGAATGCATCATCTTTTGCGAGTTGTCCTTGAGCCCTTTTGGCTGGAAAAGACATGAAGTAACCGATTGAGCTAACTGCTCTCCACAAGTGCCTCCTTTATCATGTGGCTGGCATCTGCTCCCTGCCCACGATTTTATTTGGGAAGAGGCCCTGAGGGGTTTGGTGACTTGCCCATGGCCACACAGGCATCAAGAGTCTAAGTCAGGATTTGAGTCTGGTCAGACCAGCACTGAAATCCACCTTCTGGCTCTTTCCCTAACTTGTTTACTAGAGTGCTGCACCCTGGGGTCTAGTGAGGTTGTGATTTGAGCTCTACAGTGCAGGTGAGGTGGTTCTTTGGTGATTTCATGGCTTGGTTCCGGTTGCTGTCTATTACCGAAGGCCGTCTCGGTTTGCAAAGGTCCAGGACCCCACTGGACCAGGCTCTGCTGATGCTGAGAGTAGCAGTGATTCTAGGGAAGTCCAAAAGAAGACTCAGAGGCTAGTGGACATCCTCGGGGCCAGCTTGCTGAGTTTGGACTTCGGGTCCTAAGGCAGTAGGGAACCAGATGAGGTTTTTGAGCGGTGGCACGAGAGAGTCTCATCTGTGTAACAGGAAATTAACTTTGGTGCAAGCGTAAACACAGGTTAGAGAAAAGAGATGAATGAAGAGGCTAGCCTGAGCATCTGGGCTGCACTAGGTAGTGGTTGGCCTGGGGCTCTGGGGTGGGGGAATGGTGAGGTTTGGGAGCTTTATAGGGGCAGTGGTTCCACACTCAAGCATAGAGGTAGCCTAGGAAGACCTGGAGTGCTGGGGTGGGAGGCTGCAACAGCAGAGGAGTCTCTCGAAGCCGACTCGCCCTCTCCCAGGGCCATTTCTACAGGGTTTGTGCTTGATACCTTGCTACCTTCCTACTTTAGCACCTTGGGGTTGATGGATAGCCCATCGTGGCTCCCTTGGTTCTGTCCTCCCCCCTCCTTGATCACAAGGGGCATGGGCTTGTGCCACCCACCCTCCAGGGTGGGCTTGTTGGGGGACGTCTCAGGGTCTCCAGCCTGGGCCACCACTTGGTATTCCTAATGGGTCCGTGCTGGAGGGAAAAGCTTGGGAGGAAGTTAGTTTCTGCTGAGGGCTGGGTCCTCCTGCCAGGTGAATAGTTATAAACACCCACAGCAGCTCGCTTGGCAACAGCAGCACCAATGGTCCCCGGGGGTATTGTCTGTAAACCCCCACCCGCCACGGCTGCCACAACCAATAAAGCCTCCTGGGGCATGGAAAGAGGCAGCTGGGCTTGGACCTCAGGGACCACCCCAGGTAAGAGGAGGTCAGAGAAGGCCAAGGTCGTGTAAAATAACCAGAGACCAGACTCCCAGAACCAGTCTCTGCTCTCCCCTCCCACATGCCAAGGGCTCGGTGGTGCACACTGGCTCCGAAGGCAGTGTCCTCAGAGGACCTGGACTCACAGCCCTGCCCTGCAGTGTCTCCCAGTTCCGAAGGGAATCTCAGAGCAGAAGCAAGCGCCTCTGGCTCAGGAGGTAAAGCTGGAAAAAATGGAACACCCTGGTTGCCAAGGAGGGGTGCAGGCTGAACTTGGGACCAAAGGAGCTGTAGCCACTGTAGATGGCTGCTTAGGTGGACAGCCACCTGAGGAGCTGTGGGCTGTCCTTCATTGCTCCAGGTGGGAGGAGACTCACTGTGTGTGTGTGTGTGTGTGTGTGTGTGTGTGTGTGTGTGTGTGTGTGTGTGTGTGTAAGACGATGAGCACGTGACTGATCCCATGCTAGACTCTAATGGCTCTTCATGTCCCCACCACCTCCCGGGACCTGAACCTGGATCCTTCTTACCAGGCAAGAGCTAGTTTTTCTGTCTGTTCAACATTCCTGTAAAGGACAGAATTGTGGGAATGGGTCTGTGCTGGCAGGGGTGGGGTGGCCACATAAGACAAGGGGATGCGTACTGTGTCCCCGACTCACTGAAAGAGTCTGTGTTCCGCATCCTTACAGTGAGCGTAGGGGCTGCTGTGAGGACCAGACAGTGTGGTGGAGAGGACAGGTTTTTCTAGGAATCAGGAATCCAGGCAGTTTAGAAAAGTCCTCCTTTTCCTGAAGCTCAGAGACTACCCTCACAGGCTTGTGATAGTGACCTTCGGACAGGACTTCAGGGGCTCAAAGTCTGTATTACCCGGATAGAATGCTCAGTTCCCGTGCGTTCCAGGCACTCTCCGCCTTTGAGTGTCAGCTTCCCTCTGCCTGGGACACCCTTTTCTCTTCAGCCTCCACAACTGTGTCACTTCCTGCCAGCAGCCTGCTCCGCCTCGTCAGAGCTGAGTCAGGCACCTCCTCTGCCTTCTGCTGTCTGATGGCAGCCTAGACTCTACTGTACAACACTCCCTCAGGCAGCTCCGAGCTGGTGAGAACAGAGGCCATGTGGAAGCTGTGGGATACAGGGGTGGGAGGATGGATGGGTGGCCTGGACGTTCCACATTGTGTGCTCTCTGTGATGATGCCAGCATCACGTCCTCTGGCCCGGATGCCTGGCTTGTGCTACAGTCTGGGGTCTGTCTATGAGCAACTCCCAAGCACCAAGGGATTGGTAGTCCCGAGATATTCTTTCAGCCTCTTTAATACCGTTTAAAACTGTATAGTGGAGTCCTTGGGGGCTAGGTAGGGGCCCACTGAGTCAGTCCGTTTCATTAAAGGAAACAGCCCTCGGCTCAGAGCCCACCCCCAAGAAGAGCTGGTGGAGGCGTCTAGTAGTGAGTCACTCATCTGGTAGGTCTAACTGCAACTTGGTCTTCCCATATACATTTTAGGTAAGTGGATGTCCCGAGAGGAGAAGGCCAGCTGGCCACCTGCCCAGAGCCCTCCCTCCCTCCCTAGAGAGGTTTTCCTTGGTGAAGGCATTGCAGTCCCTAGCTGTGCCTCCGCTCTGATGACGGGGTGTGTGTGTGTGTGTGTGTGTGTGTGTGTGTGTGTGTGTGTGTGTGTGTGTGTGTGTGT